CCAGGAGCAAGGCGGACCGAACTTCCAAGAACATCAAGAGTGGATTTTGATATTGCAGAAATTGAACTTGACTTCAGATGTCGTGAGGGGCATCCACATCGCCAAGATACTTGGAGAGGTTCTTGAGAAGACGACAATATTCGTTGATGGAGAGTTGGCCTTTCACAGTTGTACGGAATCGGTGCTCCAGTTGTATCGCCCGGGCATGCTTGTTGTCGTGAAAGAAATTGTAGATCGCTGTCTATAGGGCATGAGCAGAGAGATTGTTGGCGAGCACAAGGTCGGAGACCTCATCCGTGATTGTGGACAGGATCCATTCCTGAATTATGGCATCAAATTGAGACCATTCAGCATCGTCTGCGGAGGAGGCGATGGTTGTGTCGTCGATGAAACCTTTGAGATTGAAGCGGAGGATCAAGAGACGAAATAATCGACTCCACTTTTTGTAATTCGGTTATGAGAGACTGAGTTGTAGAGGGATATGGAGTTTGATGTTGGATATGGTGGTGAAGGCTAGATGGGGTGAATTATTTGGAGAGGAGGTTTCATTGTTAGAGGTGACTTTGCCAGAGGAGTCGGAGTCGGCCATGGTTGCTGGAGGAAGAGAGAAGTCGGGAGTGAAGAGGGGGGGTGCTGGCCGAAACACAAGAGGGAGAGGGGAAGAGGGAAGCCGTGAGAAATTAGGGCTCCGATACCATGAAGAATGAATATTTTCTATTGAATTATTATGGGAGATAACATGTGTATATATACAAGGATTTCCTAATGACAATAGGAAATAATAATTAATACACCTTATACAAATATGGTAGTCCAATATACATTAATATTAAATATAGTAAGAATATATTTAACAAATACAAATGCGAACCGAATGTTGGGGGATAAACGAAGATAATACGAATCGATTCGACAGTCATGTAACACTTTTCAGATTTGATTATTTTGGTTGTTCAATCCAAAAATCAATTAGATAAAACTCAAAATTTTCAAGAGCAAGTATGGATTGATGTAGATTTTTGAACAAAGCCGCGGAAAGGAAGAAGATTGTGGTCGTGTCTCTCATCCAAAACGCGCATCCCTTTGTGCGGGTTTTGAGAAAAACACGCTATGTTTTTTTTGAATGTTTTCCTTTAAGGAAAATTCGAGAATCAAAATTCAAATGATTTTTTAACATAGCACTTTATCCAAAATAAAAAAATTCCCGACTCCAGTCAAGGGCTCTGCCCCTTGGACCCCGCAGAGGCTGATGCCCCTTGAACCCTGCTCAGGGGGCGCTGCCTCTGAACCCCCACTAAGGGGGCGCTTCCTCCTTGGAACCCCCGTTAAGATGATAATTTTATTATAACAAACTCAATGAAGCGTGGCCACCAAACTTCTTTGATGATTATTATGACAGCATTGGTCAAACAGTTTTTTCAATTACACTAAACTATATAACACCGAGTATTTGAATTTAATATGGAATCGAATACGATTAGTAATAATTATTCAAATAAAAATGAATATGAATAATGGTATCATTTTTAAAATACAAATAAAATTTCATAATATTCTATTTGATTCGTTCGTTTTACAACCCTAGTGAGTAGCCTAAGATGAATGCGACTTGGATTCACTTAAGAGTTAAGACTCTACTTCGTTTGTCTGATTTGATTGGATCTAATCTGATTTTTGAAGATCTTATCTGATTGGCTCTAATCTTTACTGATCTAATTAGTTTTTGTTGTTACCCTACTCAAGTTGTTTCTCAAAACCATGAACTCATTGTTGTCACTATGCTCAATTTTTTATCCATTTAATTATTTATCAATTTTTAACTGATCTAATTATTTATCCATTTTTTATTTTTCAGTTAAAACTAAAAAACATTAAAAATAAATTAAATAAAAGTTGTACTAGATATAGATACGAAAATAATTTTATTAGTTTTATTTTAGAAAATATTTTTAAAATATTATTTAATCTAAAGAAATTACCCTAAATAGGGTAAAATCATATAGAAAGTATCAAAATAAGAGCTCCATATTTTAATTTCCAAAATAAAAATTTGCACTGTGGTAATGTGACATTGTATATAGACATTTCACAATACTTTTTTGGTAATGTATATGGTTATGATTAACACCGTTGATGCATTTTAACTCTTATTTCGGAAATAAAAATATGGATCTCCTATTTTCGTATATTTTCAATATTTTACTCCTACGTTAGTCTTTTTCCCTTATATCTAATTAATATACGATATATATTTTATTTAATTATAAGTCAAATATTAAAAATGATTGATTGTAAAAAGTCAAAATTAGATAAATAGCCAGAGACAGAAATATTATTTTAAAATGAATCTAAAACACGACATTTATATGATAAGTCAACGTATCTTCGTGAATATACAATGGCCAAAATTTATAAATTATGAACATAAAATTTGAAGTTTTTGATAGGGCTTATCAATCATGTAATTTTATTTAGTTATGTATCAAAAATTAATTATAATGAACCGTTAAAAATTAAAATTGGGGTATATTTGAATCTACAGAAAGGTTCCATTGAGAGCATCTAGCGTCAACGGATGACGCTCGTCATTTGAAATTCTTATGGTGTTCAGTTCGCAAAATTGATGATTCCTACTATTCTTAACCTCCTCACTTAGGCCCCGTTCCGTTCAACTTATTTTTTCTGCTCTTTTCTTATTCCTATTAAAATCAAATCAGATGAGATCAGATCAAATCGAATCAGATAAGATCACATCAGATCTAATCAAGAATTATTATTATTATTATTATTATTATTCTTAAAAATGAAAAAGAATAAACTCTAGAAACAAGTTAAATAGAAAACTGAGAAAGTAATCCTTAATTATTAAACGTCGGAAAAATTATTTTTAAAATACACTGATAATGTCAATCTAATTCTACTTTTAAAATACATTTTTATTGCGACTTGTAATTTGAGTTTCTAAAGTTTTGATCTTTTACTATATTGTGTTGATCAACTTTGATCATGACTTAAATAAAATTAACATTTGATATTTATATGCGGAGTATATTTTAGTGTAACTGAAATAATTATTATATCTATAGTGTTACATTAATCATAAAAAAGTTTTGTAGTATAAAACACACACTGATATTTTATAAGCATGAGTTATTTTAATAAAAATACTATCTCTTCTCTATATTGATTATCTAAATTTAATTATTTTTTAATGTATATATCCATTAATTATTTATTCTAATGTATATACGAACTAATTATTAAAATATTAAATCAATATTTTTATTTCATAAAAAAATAATCATAAAATACTAAATATTATTACATTATAATATGAATGATTATTCTAATATATGAATTAACTAATTTTATTTCATTAAAAATAATCATAAAATAAAAAATATTGATTATATTATAATATTAATTATCATTACAATTTTCAAAAGTTATTATAAAGTCAAATCAAATTATTGATTTGAATTTCAAATCAAATCATAATTAATCAGACCAAACCATATCAGATCAGATCCAATTAGATTAGATCAGAACTACGAAAAATTAGATTAGATCAGCAAAAATAAGTTGGACGAAACGAAGCATAAACCCCCCACTGCATCCTCACCCCAACCCGACTTCTACACCACCACCTTAGACCCTCCTCTTACTCTTCCAAATGTGTGGCTATTATGCATTTAATATCAGGAGGTTAGGAAGAGAAGTCATGAATTTTTTATTTAGAGCACCGAAGAAATTATAATTGAGTATGGCTACGTTCCGTTCAACTACTTTTTCTAATCTGACCTGATTTTTTGTAGTTCTGATCTAGTCTGATCTAATCTGATTTGATTGGAACTGATTTGATTTGATTGAATATGATCTCATCTGATATAATTAATTATGATTTGATTTAAAATTCAAATCAATAATCTGATATGACTTTATAATAACTTTTGAAAATTGTAACGATAATTCATATTATAAGATAATCAATATTTTTATTTTATGATTATTTTTTAATGAAATAAAATTAGTTAATTCATATATTAGAATAATCATTCATGTTATAATGTCATAATTCTCACGAGTACTATCTTAAAATTATACTTTAAAATTTTGATACCTGGTGGTGGGTGTGGGAACCGAAATTGTGTTTCATATCATTTTATTTTTCTCTACATAAATTATAATCGCACAAAAGTTTCATTTTCTTTCTTCTTATATTTTTTTAAAAGATATTGAATTTATTTTTTGAAAGAATCGTATCAAGTGAAACATGTAAAAAGTATGGAATTTAAAATAATAATAATAATAATAATTCTTGATTGGATATGATCTGATCTGATTGGATCTGATTAGATCTGATCCAATTTTAATAAGTTAAAGAAAAAAAGCAAAAAAAATAAATTGAACAAAGTGAAATTTGCACTAAATAGGACTAAAACATAATGACTTTCCTAATGTAGGATTTAAACTTTTTTATTCTCTAAATAGGACTAAATAATGACCTCGTGGGAGTAATAATGTCTAGTAATGCTAGACATTTACTTGAATAATGACTACTTGTTAATGACCAAAAGTCCTACATTGGGAAATAAAAACATATGATCCTATTTTGGGAAAGTCATTATGTTTTAGTTCTATTTAGGTAAATTTCTCTTGAACAAAAGCTTGTATAAAATGTTAGGGGGTGACGAAAAATGTTCAAAGAAAAAAAAAATACCCGGAGTTGCTCTAAGATTAAAATTGATAATGGATCAAAACAAATTTTCTGTTTATATTGTTCGCGCGCGCTGTGTCACCCGCTCTCTCTCCCTTCCTTCCTGCAAGAGAAGAGAGAGAGAGAGTCACGTTCGTCTTTCCTCCATATCAATTTACCTCCATCGTCGGATCGGTTCTTCCCAACCCATTCTTCTCATCAACGAAGATCGAAGAAGAAGACGAAGAAGAATAAGAAGGAAACGAAACCTGATATTGAATGCATAAAAGGCCAGGATCGATCGGTTATACTTCAGGTGGTTTGGATTTCATTTTAATTGGTTTTGATCGAAGCATTAATCATTTGTTATTTTGCCTGTAAATGTATGCACGCCAGGCGTTTGATGTTTGAATTGCAGGCGATTGTTGCAGAATTGACGAGAGAGTATGTATCAAACATCATCGTCCAATGCACCTCGTCGGGATCTGTCGACCTCTAATAGAATGGTAGACGTTAATGCCGTGCAGACCGCCCGACTCTACCAAGTCTGGAAAGGAAGTAATGTATGCTTAATTAATTAACTTGGCGGCCTAAATGTTGATTTCTTCATCCCAATTTCTTCCTTTGTATATATAATATACCTTTCTGCATTTTTCACAATGGTCACTAACTAATTTGAATCTTTCTCTGTTAAGTTTTTGTTTTGAACTACTGGTACCATTTTATCGTGACGATTTTGAGTAGGAAAGAAGACTATTAAAGTGAGAGAGAACTATGAGATTATAGTATCAAACAAGCATTGATAGATTGAGACAAAGGAATATTATTATACGGAGTAAGTTTTTTTTTTTGTGTCTCATTGCAGAAATTCATCTGTGGGGGCAGACTTATATTTGGGCCAGATTTCAGATCAATATCTTTCACGTTGTTCTTGATTTTGGTTCCAGTACTCTCCTTTTGTGTATTTGTTTCACAAAGCCTCGTCAATAAGCTCCCACATCGAATAGGCTATATTCTCCAAGCAGTAACAATTCTCTTCACCACCTATGTGAGTTCTCATCATTATTCTTCCCTCAGCTCCCTAATTATCAAATCCAAACTTTAAATTGATTACTTTACACTGGCGGCCCTTATATTAAACCGTATGAGAGACCTTATACTAAACAGTACTGAGTCTTGCAGATTATAATTCTGCTGTTTGTGACTTCGGGAAGAGACCCTGGAATAATTCCCAGAAATTCCCGCCCCCCAGAGCCAGACGAGGAAGTAGATACGTCGAGTCTCTCAACAGACTGGGCCGGGAGTCAGAGTGGCATAAGTTTGCCCCCAACGAAGAGCGTCACAGTGAATGGGATAGTAGTGAGGGTAAAATACTGCCAAACGTGCATGCTATACCGGCCACCACGCTGCTCTCATTGCTCTATTTGTAACAATTGTGTTGAACGGTTTGATCACCACTGCCCTTGGGTGGGACAATGCATAGGAAGGGTAGGCATGCACAAGTACCATGTATGATATGTCAGTTTTTAGTTGCAAGGTTGAAACCTGGATATCATGAAGAACCCTTTTTTTTCTTTTGCAGAGAAATTATAGGCACTTTTTCATGTTTGTTTCCTCTACAACTCTCCTGTGCATCTACATTTTTTCGTGCTGTTGTGTAAGCATTAGGCTAATTATGAAAGCAGAAAATAGCTCTTTCTGGGAGGCTTTTGCCGAATCACCTTGTTCCGGAATTCTTATCATCTACACATTCACCGTTTCTTGGTTTGTTGGAGGCCTCACTGCATTTCACATATACTTGATCCTCACCAATCAGGTCCGCTTCTCTTTTAATTTACTGGTTTCCTTTTGATTTCATTGCTTGTTTATCTTTATTGGTTCATGTATTCATGCTCTCACCCTTTGTTGCAGACAACATATGAAAATTTTCGGTACCGCTACGAAAGGAAAATGAATCCCTACAACCTTGGCTTTGCCCACAATTTTAAGGAGATTTTTTGCTCGAAAATACCGGATTCAAAGAACAACTTCCGTGCAATGGTGAAAGTGGAATTGCCATCAAGCTTCAACACTTCTGCCTACCCAAGCCGAGCTACGAGCCCAGAAATGCCCAACGTGAGCCATAACATAGATATTGAGAAAAGGCAAGGTATTGAGAAAGGCGAGTTTGAAGACTTGCGAAGGCAGATTAGGAGCATGGGTGACTTAGAGAGATGCGAACCTCACCCTTTGCGAAATAATAAGAGGGAACACCACAAATCCACTTGGGAGATTGGTCCTGATTCACATGTAACGAATGTTAAGTTTCGGGATGAAGATGGTATAAAGCATTGAGGGATAGAAGATTGAAAAGAGTGCATATATGCCCCAGAGATTATAATTATGTCTTTCAGAAGTGGACACCGTATTGATCTTTAGGGATTCCGAAGATTCAGTTCCTTGGGAATGAGAGGAGTAATATGATCTCTCAGCTGCCTTGTGGAAAGTGATGAGGAAGTACTAAACTGTTTGTAATGCCAATGGAATGCTGTTCAGTATGCTTATTTAAACTGTACTCCGGAGTCTGAAGCAGTACATCTTTTAGCAATTCACATGAATCCCAGGATCAGAAAGGGTTCGAGTCTCTTTAGGAATTCTTAAACTGGAAGTGCAGATAATTTTCTTTTTGGAAAATGACTTCTATATATGGAAATGGGCTTTCACTTTCTGTTGTTTAGACCTTAGATGGAATAGAGAAAGTTGCTTTCTTTAGTACCATAGACATTGCATTTTTTCAGAATGCTTTAAATATACTCGTATCTAGTTTTAAAATAATAAAATTTTCATGAATAACACGTTGGTTTGATTTTGAATATAACTACCATTCATTGTGTTTTTCAAAAGAATGAATCTATGTGGCTAATCAATGTAAAAGAATTGAAGGCCCGATCTAAATCATTCCTGCTCTGAATCCATTACCGATTATGTTAATTCTATTCGCACCAAAGTTAATGGGTTGGCTTTATTGGGAAAGCCCATGGATGATGAAGATGTCATTCAAAAAAAAATATTGGAGGGTTTGGATCCTGTGTGTAAGTCAATTGTTGATGCTGTTGAGGGAAGGGAAACCCTTATATCTATTGACGAATTGCAATTGCATGAAAAGTTAATTAACAAAGAGGTCATTGTAACACCCAAACTCGAGTTACCCGAAATACCCAGACTAGTGAATCGGGTTGTCACTAGATTGACATCCAAACACATCATAGTTACAAAATAATTTAAAATATTTAATTCAAAAAACAGTATTTATAAATCCATCGAAGTTATGTAAAACTTGTGATGAAAGCTCTTGGATTATAAACTCTAGTGCTTCCTTCCATTTACTACACATAGAAGTTTCTTCTCATCCTACCAAAGTGGTGACTTTGGTAGAGTGCAAATGGGAAATCAAGATAAAAGCAACATCATTGGGAAAAAAAAGATATCATTCTGAAATCAAGTACTGGATGCAACTTTGTACAAAAAGATGTGAGGCATGTATCAGCTATGTGCCTCAACCTTATTTTCATTGGAAAACTAGACGATGCTAATATGATGAATTACTTTGGTGAAGAAATGTAGAAGGTCACCAAAGGAAGTTTAGGCAGCGTTCCGTTCAACTTATTTTTTCTACTTATTACTTATTCTTATTATAATCAGATCAGATCAAATGAAATAAAAAACAACTTCAATTATAACTGCAATCAGATCAGCTTTTGTGGAAATCACTTTATCCAGAAGTTAATTACTCCCAAACAAGCTCTTAGTAGGATTGGCGCTTCACTCATATTCCGATCCGGGCTCGAGTGCGTAAGCCGCACTCCCCTTGGCCCACTTAATACTCGGATCCATCCTTAGCATGAAATCGGGCCTATCATCATATTCTAAAAATGAGGCCAATTTGACAATAACTTAAAGTTTTAATATTAGTGTTTTAAAAATACTATCCAATGGCAGATTTTAACATTTTTAATATTAATTTACATCATTTTAATTTTATCTAAAACTCTAATCTTAATCTAAAATGATATTTTCAAACTAAACCTAAAATGCGCAACCATTGTGTCAACTCCAATTTGATAACATTGGTCCGTGAAACTCAATCTTATACCACGATTTACTAGAAAGTAGGGACTGGGGATTTGAGAAAATATTAATGCCTCCGTCCCAATTAGATTACAAATTGGGGTTTACGAAAAGAAATATCTCACTTTTTGTATTTATAAATCAATATATTGATAACAAATAAAAAGTACATATTAAAAAAGTATGTCAAAATAACTACAAAATAAGAGGTAACAAGAATATTTTATTTCATCTAAAAATTAATGAAATCGTCTAAACAAATACTCCAGTAAATAATTGGGCGAAATATTTTCGTGAATATTTGTATGAGAGGGGGGGGGGGGGGGGGGGGGGG